GTGGAAGTATGTATTCCAGGAAGAACTTTATGATCTTAATCTCAGGTTAGGTTGCTTCCGGATTGCCCAACAAATTACTCGAATGAAGACCATTGAGCTCCAAATAAAACTCTTACCTTCTCCAATACTTCAGATTCTGATACACTTAACCTGCACAAGAAAAAACCACTCAATGTTCGTTATTACACTGTCTTCTTCATATGCCCCTCATTTCTACAAACAAAAACCAACTTGCAAGCAATTTGGTAGAAAAAACAAACATAGCTCTTTGAGGCTATATGTTGCTAAACTTATCTAATTGCATTTTAAATATCTTTCTGGCCTTCACTAGAAACAATAGAGTTCAATTAAGGAAATTATGAAATTACCGGTAACTGAAATCTAAATAGTGAAGCCAATTTTTCAACCTCACGATAACCAACCCATTAACCTTCTTGCCTTTTCAAGTTGGCGTACCACCTAAGCTCAACAAAAAGGCATACCTTCTTCAATACCCCAGGCATATCATGCTCAACTTGCTCAAGAAAAGAATAATTTGCTCAACAAACGACTTTTAAATAGTCGACACCAATTATGGAAAATAAAAGACACATGTGAAACCAAAATCATCTTTTGTTGAGTTTGTAGGTCTTCTCCCGCCCTCGATCTCAATTTCCTTTACCTAGAACCCTACGCAGCAAGCAAATGAAGAGAGCCGAGATAGAGAGCGCCGCCGCCACAATGACAGCCCATCCGCCCGCCTGATACGCCTTCAAAATGATAATAGAGAAAAGAGAGGGGGGAAAGACAGGAAAAGAGATCGTCACAGACAGAGGTAGAGTCATGTCATGAAAGGGAAAACAAATTTCTGATCACCAAATTTTCTCTATTGCCTTTGTGTTTTGACGATGGCGGTCAAATTGTGGAAGGTGGATCCTACGATGATGAACAACAATCTGGGAACTGGCTTTTGCGTTTCTTCAAGCGAGGTTTTTGTCCTTTTGGATTTTGGGGAAGATGGTTTAATTTGGGTCAATGTTCTTTTGATTATGATGTGTTTCCGTTGTTTTAAAAGTTTACAATCTCATAAACTTGGGAGTGATATTTAGATGACATAAGGTACTTTAGTTAGCAAAGTAGTGGTTTATTAGACAATTAAGAGGAAGGTATAGAACTTTGAGGGGTGCAAATAGTAATTTTAATTGAAAATTAATTAATTATTTAATCAGAATTAATGACGACCGTCAGATTAGATCAACGGTGTGCAGAACCTGGAGTACACCAGTCTGACCCATGTATATATTTTTGTGAATGTCATTGCATCATGGTCCATGAAACCGTACCGGTAAAGTTAGTGGTAGGGTATTTTATGGTAAAACCGTGGTTCAGCCGTAATTCAACCGTTATACCGGTAAATACCGCCTACCGGTTTAGCCTCCGATACTGGTATTTCGTGGTTGAACCGCCGGTACAGTACGGTTTCATGGACACTGCATTGCATATGTTCACGTGAATAAATATTCTAATTTAATTAATTGAATTGGTAGTGGTGTCAAATGAACAAGGGTAATGAATAATTATTAGCCAAACCTTTTTCACATTCTTTTTTTATTAGCTAAACCTATTGAATTACTATTAATTAATTAACCAAATCTTTTATAATGCATCAAATAGTAGACTTTTTTGTTACCGTTAATAATTTTCTAACTCTTTTCTAAGTTAAAATACTAAGGTTTTGGAATGTTGACCTCCATATGTCTTTTTCGAGTCAGTATCATATTGTCAAGTCAATATTACTAACAAAATTGCAAGATAGAAGTTGACATTTAGCTAATTATTATTAGATCAATAGGTTTAGATAATAAAAAAGAATGCTAGAAATGTTCGGCTAATAATTAGTCTTTACCATCTTCAATTTCTTGTGCAAGTGGTAATATTCTCATATTTTATCTAATGCTTTGAGAAAACAACTACATATAAATCAAACTAATGTTAAAGATGACCCGTCGAACAGTTTTACAGTGACATATTTGAGGAAACATTTGGTCACTTAAGGAGCATCGTTAATGTGCTTATTTAAGCAGAATAATGATAGCTAACGACAATAGATAAAGGAAACCGGATCGTACCGGCCGGTTGAACCGGTAAAATCGGAAACCGGCGCCTGGTCGATACGGTAGCTGGTTTGTTGTGAAAGAATCGTTCCGGCCGGTTTTCCCGGTAAAACGGTACAATTCAAAAAACCGCCCGGTTTTGGTCTAACCAGGGGTAAGCTGATGGGAAGGACACAACGTCGTTTTGGCTTTAGGGAAAAAAAAAAAAAAATCGGCCGAAGCCTCAAAAATCAAAACCCTAAATCATCAGCGAGCGCAGTCTGGTTTTTGGTTTCCTGCTGCTGGCGACCAGGCGACTGCGATCCTCCTCTTCTCGGCCGGCGACCAGGACCCGGCGATCCTCCTCTTCTCGACCGGCGAGCGGCGACCAGGCCAGCGGCTGCTTCGCGGTTGCTCCACGCTGCTCCGCCGCTGCTCCACCTCTAATCCGCCACTACTCCGCCGCTGCTCCGGCACGCGTCTCCGGCACGCGTCTCCCTCCCCTGCTCAAGAAGAACACGGCGGCAGCAGGTATGTTTCAATAAACATTTCATTGTTTAGAAAGTGGTCTTCACTATAAAATCAAGTGGTCTTCCCCCTTCTCTATCGCGCTTTTCTGAGCCCAAACAGTAGAAAGAAAGACTTTCGGCTTGAATTCCTTGAAATTAGAAAGGAACTAGAAGCATGTAATTGGTACGATGAAGTGGCCGTGAGAAACCAGGATATACCCTTAAATGGTTGTGTTGATCCGAGCTTGAAATGCGCATAGGGAAGATGGGCAGGGTCCATAAGGTTTTCTATCAATACCTCATACCTACATATGAACGCAAGAAGAGAAAATCTTGATTAAAATTCAAATTTATTAATTATTTTGAATACCATGTTTGCCCTTTTGGAAAATTTTCACCTTCTCTCTTGCTTGATCTAATAATTAGTATTGACTTGAAAACTTTTTCAAATATAAGTGGACAACAGTGCTTGCTAGTTTGTGTTTGTGGTAGTTGTGAACTTATGGTTTGAGAATGTTGTTTGGTTTGAGAACTTATAGTTTGTGTTTGTGGTAGTTGAGAATGTTGTTTGGTTTGAGAATGTTGTTTGAACTTGTGGTTTAAGAATGTTGTTTGGTTGTTTTGTACTCGATCGTAAACATGCATTTGAAGGATTATGTAGTTAATTCAGTAATGTTGCAGTTTGTTGAATTTTATATTAAATATGCAGATGGAAATCAAACCCATGGCCGCGGGTATCCGACCACCCCCGACCCAGTCAACGCGGGTAATCCCCGCTTTGACCGGGTATGGGACGGGTATGGGTAAAACCCGCAAAATGTTTGATGGGTATGGGGCGGGTATGGTTTTAGCCTCCCCCGCCCAATACCCATACCCATATCCGCCCCACCAAGAGAATTTTTTCACATATACAAAAATATGTAGATCAAATTGTAATCTATCAATGATGATGAGGATAACTCGAGGAAATAAATAGTAGAAATGCAATTGAGTGACCACCTTAATCAAAACCTAATTCATTTTCCTCAAATCTCCTTTCACTCTTTCACTTTCCCCCTTGTCAACAAGATTATGTTAGTTAATTATTTCTTAGTAGATGTATCAGAGTTAGAACATAATAATTTGAAAAATATTATACTCTATATTATGTTTTAACGAATGTTTTAGAATAATATTCTTTGAACCGTATTAAGAAAATGATCGTGTTTTGTTGAATTCGTGATATAATAGGTACGTTTAGAGTTGTAGTTAAAACTTTTCTTGTAAATTTTAGGATAATAATGTTGGATGTACGCGTACGGATATTACCCATGGGTACCCGAAACCCACGGGTATGGGGATGGGTTTGCCAAATATTCCCCCACATGGGTATGGAGCGGGTATGGGTTTGGATATTTGAAGATGGGGATGTGGATGGTTTAGACAAACCCGCCCCATTGCCATCCCTAAATATGCTTATTTAGTTTATTCAGGTTTGTTATCCGGTATATTCCGGTTTTATTCCGGTATTATTCCGAAACGGTATCCCGAATATGCCGGTACGGTTTTATAATAAAAAATTATTATTTAATTACAAAAACGGAATTTTGCCGGTACACAACGATTGAACCACGGTAGTACCACAAAATACCCTAACCACTGGCGGAGCCGGTATGACTTCCGGTACGGTTTCCTTTACCATGCACAGGAGAATACTGTCATGCCAGATAGAAAAATGAATTTCATAAAAACACTAAGCCAAAAAAACCAGATTGTACTACTTTTCTTGACTAAATACAGAGTTTAATATGACAGCTTATACATTGACATTAGTCAATGACTGCCATGAACATCTACAACAAAAAGCAAATTGAATGGATGAATATGTCTCCTACATCAGCTATGGAATTAAATATTTGAATTAAATATGAAAGGCAAATGACCAACAACAAAATAAAACTGTGTAAGAAGTGAGAATTCTTGACGTAATATGTGAGTATTAAACTGTAACACATTAGCCCAAGCAAAAGAGCAAATTGAGGGGTCGTTTGGAAATTGCGATTGTTAAATAGATGTATTGTTGAGAATGAATGTATAATATTATACATGTATTGTCGAATTTGATGCATTGTAGAATACAACGTTTGGTATGTGATTGTGTATGTCGCATAAGCTAAAAGCTGAGACAAAACAATTTCAACTCAACTATCTCAACAATCACAACTAAAAGTTGAGATATAACAATCACTCAAAATGAGTGATAGTTTCTGTCACATCATAGAAACAATCCATGTATTGTTTCTGCTAAAAAACAAAAAAACGATGCATTGTAAACAATTCATGCATAATGACAATCTCAACAAAACAATCGCAACTTCCAATTGACTTGTGTCATTCATCTCACCATCCATAGCAATCTAACACAAACTTTTTTTTTTGCCAAAAGATAATCGATATATTGATCAGAAACATAGGTAGTTACATCCTGGAATTGAGCCAGGCCAGAAAATTTAAACAACGACTTGTAGTCGGGTACAAATGAAGAGCCTTTCTAGCCGCCAAGTGGGCTGCCCTATTGCTATGCCGACCTACAAACCGAACCGAGAAACCTCCCATCAAACCAAACACCTCCACAATCTCCTCAAAGAGCGCCCCAATTCTACTATCCCTAGTATTTGCCTGAATAATCTTGTCGATAAGCACCTTGGCATCCCCCCTCAAAGCGCACCTCCACAAACCCAGAATCTCGGCACCAGAGAATAGCTTTGCGAAGGGCAAGGGCTTCAGCAACCAACGGGTCTTCGATGCCTGCAAACTGAAATCCTCTGGCTATAAGCGTGTTCCCCAATTGATTCTTCACCACCATCCCTCCTGCCGAATGGGAGGCTGCCTTGGTAGCCCCATCCCACAAGCAGATCATAGGACAGGGCGGAACCTCGACTTCCGGGGAAGCTGGACCCCTCTGGGCTTTACCAGCTGGAAAATTGATCCATTCCTGATACTGCTGGTGGTATTGCCTCATCAAAGCCGGAAACCCAAACTGTTTTCCTTCAAACACAACCCAGTTCCGGGACCGCCAAATACGCCATAGGACAGCCGTAACCGCCATGACCAAGTGGTCATGACGGAGGATATTCAACAACCGTTTTAGAAACAAAGGAAAAGTCTGACGAGGCAACCCCTGCCCGAGATACTCCAAACCTGCGTAGTCCCAGAGGGCCCGAGCCACAGGGCATTCCAGGAACAAATGCTCCAAGGTTTCTGACTCCGCCCAGCAAACTGGACAACGAGGGTGTACTTCGATCTTTCTCTCTATCAGGGCTTCAATGGTTGGAAGGAGCCGATATAAAATTTGCCAGAGGAAGACTCGTAGCTTCGGGGGAACTGGGGCCTCCCAGACACGTATCCAGCTTGGTCTATCCATCCAACTTACCGAAGCACTCCACTGGTCATCCATTTTGTCCAACTGGACCACCAAATGGTAAGCCGATTTCACAGTGAAAACACCATCCTGCGTGCCATGCCAAACAAGTCGATCCTCAACATTACCACGAGGAAGAGGAATCTCCTTGATGAGCCGAAAGGTGCGGGGGTCGAACCAATGGGCCAAGCCCTCGTCGCACCAGGAACCCTCCTCCCTATTAATGACAGAAGCCACCCGCAAGACATCATTACCCGGCAACACACAGGGATTAAGCGCAGGGATCAGAGGATGCAGGCTGGGGATGCAACTACCCAAAAGAAGAGGGGCTGTTTGGCCATTGCCAATTTGCCAACGAAGGCCCTGGCTCAATAATTGGCGCCCAAACAGGATACTTTGCCACCCCCAGGAAGGACGGGACCGCGCCTGCGCCTCTAGGAAACCGCTCCTCGGAAAATACTTCCCCTTATACACCTGTGCTATAAGCGAATCAGGTTCGTTTAAGATACGCCAACAAACTTTAGCCAAAAGTGCCTGATTAAAGTGCTCAAAACGCCTAAATCCCATCCCTCCCTCGTGCTTACTGCGGCACATCTTTCGCCAAGACATCCATCTCACCTTATCATGCCCATTCTCCACCCCCACCAAAATCGAGCAACATGTCTATCCAAGAGCCGGCACAGTGAGAGGGGGAGTTTGAAACAAGACATAACATGTAGGGGAAGGGCCAAGGCCACCGACTTGATTAGAGTCTCTTTCGCTGCCCATGACAAAGTACGCTGTTTCCAACCCTGTAACCGAGCAAGCAACTTCTCCTCCGAGTAGCGAAACGTCTCCATTTTGGATCTGGCTATAAGGGTAGGTAATCCCAAGTACTTATCATGGACACCTATAGCCCCCACCCCCAGCACCTGACCTAGGAACTCCTGGTCTGGAATAGCAATGTTTTTACTAAAGCAAACCGCCGACTTGGCCAGGTTGACCCTTTGTCCACTCAACTCCTCATACTCATTCAAGACTGTGATCAGATTCTCGCATTCCTAGAGGGATCCGCGGAGGAACAAATAGGAGTCATCTGCAAAGAACAGATGCGAGATTCGTGGGTCCCGAGGTGCCACTTTAACTCCTTGCAGCTTCTTCTCCGTTATGGCTTTTCTCAAGAGGGCGGCAAACCCCTCCGTACATAACACAAACAAAAGAGGAGAAAGGGGGTCGCCCTGCCTAAGCCTACGGGAGGGCGCGAAATACCCCTTCGGGGTGCCATTCATCATGACGGAGAACGAAGTCGATTTGAGACACTCGTGGACCCAGTCGCACCAAACTGTGCTAAAGCCCATCTTAGCCATCACTGCGAGTAGAAAGGGCCATTCCACTCTATCATAGGCCTTTTCCATGTCAACCTTAAGAGCCATATACCCTTTCTTCCCTCGCGACTTGATTTTCAGATAGTGCATTAGCTCATGCCCTAATAGGACATTATCCACAATTTGTCGTTCCCGAACGAAAGCATTCTGCCCTTCCGTGATTAGATCCGGGAGGAGAGTAGCCAATCTCTCTGCCATGATTTTAGTAATAATCTTGTAAACAAACTGACAAAGACTTATAGGGCGAAGCTGCCGAGTAGATTCCACATTGTCCGCCTTCGGGATTAAGGTCAACCAGGTGTGATTAAAGCTGCGCAGCATCTTACTCGTTGCAAAGAACGAGCGAACAGCTCCAATCACTGAAGGTCCCACGATATCCCAGAAAGTCTTAAAGAATTTCCCTGTGAATCCATCTGACCCAGGAGCTTGCTTGGAGCCCATTGCAAAAAAAATGGCCCTCACTTCCTCGGACACGACTTCCGCCGTAAGCCGCGCATTCATGGCCTCAATAACTGGACAGTCAATAGGAAGCTGATCCACCCGCTCTGACATGTTACCCACTTGGCATTCAGACGTGAAGAGGTTTTGGTAAAAGTCAGTAGCAATATCAGCCTTTCCCCCCTCATCAGTGATCCATTCACCCTCGTTATTGCGAAGCCCAGCCACAAAGTTATGCTTTCGACGGGCCCGCGTCACCGTATGGAAGTAAGAAGAGTTCTGGTCCCCTTTCTTGAGCCAGCGAACCCTAGATTTCTGTTGCCAATATACTTCTTCTGCTTCCCATTGTCTACTCAACTCTGATTCCAGATCCAGCACCGTATCCCAGTCTATAAGGGAGCTAGATTTGATTCGATCAATCTCCTTTTGTAGAGTGCGAATATTCCGGAGAGAGTTGGTTGTGCCTGCTCTACTCCAGTCATACAGCAAATGCCGTAATTTCTTGAGTTTCTCCCAGAGCTGGAACATAGGGGTCCCTAGGATCACCTCCTGCCAAACATAAGACACCATAGCTCTAACCTCCGGGTTGTGTGCCCAGCGAGCGTCAAATCGGAAAAGGGGTCTGCTACGGCGTTCATAAGGCTTATCAGAGAGGAGCAAGGCGCGGTGATCCGACCCCTGGTCCGTAAAATTTTTAACAAGCGTATCTGGGAAAGTCGTCATCCAAGAGTGTGAGCATAGAGCTCTATCCAAGCGTTCCCGAATGCAGGCATCCCCCATTCGTTTATTGGTCCAAGTGAACTGGTCTCCCTGAAACCCTAGGTCGTGGAGGCCCAGGTCATAAATAAAGTTCCGGAGACCAGTCGCTTGGTTAGCATTCCAAGCGTTCCCCCCGTCTTTTTCACTAGCCTGGAGAGTCACATTGAAGTCCCCCATAACCACAAATGGCACCTCAAAAGAATCACAAATATCCCGAAGCTGGGCTAATTGGCTAGCTCTAATTGTTTCAACACAGCTAAAGTAAACAAAGACCACCACATAGGAAAAATCCCTTTCATTAATACGAGTACAAATGCAAAAATTCGAATGATAACAAACCGAAGCATCAACTCCGGGGACCCAGCCAACTACAAGACCTCCTGATGCATCCACAGCATCCACAAAAAAACAATGCGACAATTGGAAACCTAAATCCCGCATACGACGGGAAACGACTCGCCGGCGCGATCTTGTCTCCGCAAAGAAAACAAGGTCCGGTTTATTAGAGTAAACTAATCCTACAGCAGTTTGGAATGTGAGGGATGGCCCAATTCCTCTCACATTCCAGGCCAATAGCCTCATTTATCTGATGGGGGCCACTCTAGGCTGGCTTCCTCCACCTTATCATTAGTAACTTCCACGAATTGTTTCTTGGGCGTGGGAACCTCTCCCACTTCACCCTCAACCTCCTCTAGATGACGTTTGCGACCCTCTATAGACGTCCCTGGAAGGTTAGAGCCATACTCATCAATCTCTGCCTCCAAGAAAACACCACCTCCCTGGACACCTTGTGGCTCCACCGCCGCCGTCTCTTCACCCAGGATTAGGCCAGATTCGAATGCAGCAACTACCTGGCGAACATGACCCTTTCCCGCACATCGAGTTCCTGTGCCAGCTGGGACAGTCGACCTCTGCTTCAGTTCGAATGAGTGAGCATCATCCTCAGAGGGGGAATCCATCAGGGACGAGGCACTCCCTCCTGGAGCCCGATTTAAAGTATCTGGGAGGGTAGGTGATGCCCCAGCGGGGTCCGATGAGTGTGGGTGGGGCGGCCTTTTTCCTAACTTCCATTTCGGGCCTGTCATGCCCAGTTCCGGCCTGGAATCAGAAGCAGCCGCCGCCTGAAGACCCCGGGCCGGCCTTCGCTGCCTAGAAAGCCTCTGAGTAGGCTTGGGCCCCTCACCCAGCCCATCTCGGCCCGCCAGCCCGAGCTCCGAAGAGGCCTCCGCCTTGGCAGTCCTACGCGGCTTGGAGGCCCGCTGCCTGGGCTTGGCTATCCCTGCCCGACGCCCAGCAGGCCCATTGTGGCTTGGCAGCCCATAGTCGATATCACCAGCAGGCCCAGTTGGGCTTCCAAGCCCAGTATCATCAGTGACAGCCAGCTTAGCCGGGCCCATTGCCTTCGTGGGTTGCTCCTAGGTTGGGCTTTGTGCGTCAGCCTTAGGTTGGGAAGCCGCTCCCTGAAACACGAAGTCATCATCACTGTCCTCCAGGAGGATTAACTTCCGCCGCCGACCGACATCAACAGTATCCATAATGGCATTCGAGTCCACCGGGACATCCTGGGCGCTCCTCCTTTCATCCGCACCCCTCACCTCAACCCCCTCCATCGGCAGCTCTTCACTGGTGTGCAGAGGCATCTTCCCGTTATGCTTCTGCTGTCCAGCCCTCCTGCGTGGCCCATTAATCGACTGGAATCTCGGAGATTTCGGAATTCTGAATCCTCGAGGGCTTCCTCGGCGGGGCGAAGGGTTCGGGCGCAGCCAGGGCACTTGGACTCTATCATCCGAGTGGGCACGGTGAGACGTTTCCCCCTTGCCGCGCCGGGCATTTGGTTGCTGAACACTCCGAATAGCATTCTCCGCTTGCGGGGTTTGCATCCTCCCCATTGTTCTCGCATTCCCCGCATTCCCCCGAACCTCTTGATTAATCCAGACAGTATTCCTCGCGCCCCCATGAGGCTGATGATTGTCCTCCTGGTCATAGATTTTCCGACCCTGCTTTTTGGTCGTCATGTGGATTCCATAACGTTCTTTCCTAGCCGGCGGCTCAAAGGTGCAGTCACTCTGCAAATGACCCACACGACCGCAATGGAAACAGAAACTGGGTAAGTGTTCATATTTCAGGTTGACCCAGAAGTTTCCGGTTTCCGCACAGATTGCTAGGAGTTGTGACCGGAGCGGTTTAGTGAAGTCGATCATCGTCTTCACTTTGAGGAAGAGCTCACCCGATTCTTTGCAGGCAAAGACTCCAGCCTCCAGCACTTGGCCGATCGCAGTGGAGATCATATTTTGGCCAAATTGTTTGGTACAGCAATCCTCGTTAACTCCCCATATTTGGACGCGGAATGGTGCTACGGCCAGATCATCAAAAATGTTCTTCGTGATAGTCGGGAGCCAGGATCTCAGAACGAGGAGTTTGTCATTCACTACCCAAGGGGAGCGCTTCAAGACCCAAATCTTGGCTTCTTCATTTGGCAGCACAAATTCGAAGAGGCCATATATCGTCTGTGTGACTCGAATCTGACCCCTCCCCATCCACGGTGTGTTCACTCCCTCTCTTAGTTCCAGCGGGGTAACTCTGGCGTTCGAGAACACCCTCCCCAATAAGGTACGCGATGCTCGGAACTTCGCAGATTGCACCTCCTCGAGAGAGAATTGCACCACCTGATCCTCATTGATACGTGCCATCTCCGGTACCTGCGAGTCCGTCAAAGATTTTGACAAGTTAGGGATTGGCAGGCCACTAGACGGGGATAGTAAGAAAACGGGATCGAGGGATAAAATGGGGATGGGGAAAGGCGCCAGTCGAGGCAGAGTGCTACGAGCAGGGTGAAGAGCAGGACACCTCGGTGAGGTTTTACCTGGAAAATCACCTACGACCACTCGTCATCGTTGGGAGGAAGCAAACACCCTATCAACCGCAGTTGCTTTTTTGCAGGATTGTGAAGTGCTTGATCGCAACTGGGGAGGCGGGTTTTTAAAAGGGTTTTTGACCCCTTGAGTCTCACTCCCAGGCGGACACCTAACAGAATTCAGAGGCAGAGTCCGAGTGGGATTGGGGAGATTAGTTTCGTTTCTGTAACCGTGCAGAATATTGGAGAAATCCTCCTTAATCCCTATAAACCAGGGATGATTATCCGGAATTAAAGATTTATTTTTATCCCGGGTTTCACGTCGCCGCCGCAACCGAGAAGGGCCGGCGGCAATGGTCAAACATCTTGACGGCCGGAGACCGATGACCCCTATGGCTTTCCGCCAAATTTCGACCGCCGATGCGTCGAGCTTGGCAATGGGTTCTGGGTGTTTTACCGGTTTCCCCTGGGCCTTGAGCACAGGTTCCACCAAAGAATCTTGGGAGGGCATCCCCAGAGTATCCCGATCATTCAAGCAGGGGGGATTCGTCTCTTCCAAGTCCGACGAGGATGGTAACTGGAATCGCCAGCCCACTTTGGGGTTCTTCTTGCGGCATTTGTACCATTCCATCAGAGCAAGATCGTCGGAAGGCCTTTTCCTTTTGCTGCACCTAACACTTGAGTCAGGCTTCTGTGCCCTGTTAACCCGACGGTCACTGTTATCGCCGCGGGCCGGGATCGAGAGCCGAGGAGCAGCCGCTGATCGCAAACTGGAATTATCCAGCACTGCTGCTTTCCCTTTACCGGTGAGCTTCCATCTTTTCCAATTAGCTTGTTGATTACTAACGCTGACCTTGAAGATCGTCACCAGAGCGTTGAGGATGAGGCGGCCGGCCACGCTGCAGAGGCCGAGGAGAGAGGCGAGAGCTTCTCTCAATTTTTTTTTTTTACAAAACATAAAGACCTCGTTAACGTTGGTTCTTAACACAAACCTAAAAGGAGGTGTCTTCTGAAGTATTGAATTCAATAATAAGAATGATGTGCATGGCTAAGAAGATTGTCAATTAGACAAACAAAAATACATGTTTCAGCATTATGCACATGGTCAACCAATAGGAAAGGAAATTGCAGCAAGGTGAACTGGCCTTCTTCTTATGCATAACAAGTTCTTCCAAATCCAAGTTCTTCCAAATTAAAGGATGGAGAAAATGATCAGAAGAGTTTTCGATTTGGGAAAATAGCCGGCCAGTTCTACGTAGCTCAGCCAAAAAAAGGAGTTCCAACGGCGACAATTAATTTTAGTTACAGTAATGTCCCCGGCGAATATGAAGGAGAGGCCAGAAAATTTGAAATGATGAAATTTGAGCTCGGATTCCTAGTCAAAGTCTATATTTTGGCTTCCAAATCAAAGTCTAGAATTTAGTTAATCATACTCAACTTTGGGTTATGGTACCGAACCTTAGCGGAGGGAGGAATGTAGAGAAAGTTGAGTTGAGAGACGTGAGATGGGTGAGTGGATATAAACTCTATAACCTAATTAACAAATTTTGAGCAATTGTGGTAAATCCTCTAACCTAACCAATTTTGAGCAATTTGACAATTACCTTCAGAGAAATCAGTTAGGTACATCCGCCAAATTCCCAGGCAAGCGAGCTAGAGAACTAAAAACAAACTGTTTACTACCATGATTACAGATAAATGCATGCAACAGAAAAAAATAGTTTCCTCATTCGTCACAGTTTCCTGACTCTGCCAATTACTCTTCTACATACGGGACAAACCTTGTTTTCCTCATTATAGATCCTGCATCACAAGAGAGACATAACAAAGCATAAAACCAACAAAAAAAGAAAAGTGAAACACATATAGAAGAATAGAAACAAATTCAGATTTCAGAGAGCAATCAATCATTGATTTTTGCGTACCTGCGGGCACAAACAAGGCAAGTTGCAGAGTGGCCACACGGCACGAAGAACGAATTCTGTTCCTCGTCGTAACATATCACGCATAATCTGACGTCGTTTTGCGGCCCATCATCATCATCCACCTCATTCGACCGGCTGCAGCTCGCCCCCGCCGCCACATAAGTTCCGTACGCAAACAACGACGCCGTTTTCTGCTGCAGCAGCAATGGGTCGGTCTCGGTTGCCTCGTCGTCATCCTCTCCTTCTCCCGATGGTAAATCAATGAAATGGGCCGAAATCTTCAGCACCAAAAAAATCACTACTATTACGAAACCTGCATTTTCCACACCATCAATGAAATCATTTTGGCGTTGCCAAAAGGGGGAAGAAGGTCGAGCTCGAAAATAAAAAAAGATCGAAAATTCGAACCTAGAACCAGCAGGTAAGCTAGTAGATTAGCTAAAAGAATAAGAAGGGCGCACCATTCATCACTATCTTCCAGCTGTAATTTTTTGATTAGCAGATCATTAAATGATGAATGCTTTCTTTTTTGTTTGGAATTTGGAGACAAATATAATACTATTGATGAAGAGAGAATGATGAGAGAACTACTTACAGGAATGTCCATGAAATGCTTTCTTTTCTCGGATCATTTCTTCATTGAGGCAAAGTATGAGGATGTTTAAGGAGGCGTAAGTAAGTGAAAGTTAGGAGATTAGTGAGGTGTATGGAGATGGAATGGTGGTTAGAAAAATTGTATGGCGTGGCGTGACCAACCAAATAAAACGGTTGACGGATGGGTGACGGCATTCCCAATTTGAACGGTAGGTTGTTTCTTTTGTTTTCTTTTCCTTCCCTTTTCCAACGGGGATGCTCACTGTGTAGTGTGTACGGAGTGGTAGAGATGGCAGCAAAACCCGAACCTACTGGCGGATCCAGGGGGTGGCCACCCCAGGCCCCGGCCCAGCCCTCCTCTGGATTCGTAGTTACTATAGTCCTTATGAAAATTTTGATTTTAGACATTCAATCCAGTGTTATTCTATGATAAGATTGGGTTTAACTAGAAAAATTATCAAGTTGAACATATTCAAATCCCTATTCTAAATTCAGCCTAGAAATTTTAGCCCCAAAGATTATGCGTCTTAAAAAACAATGAAACCTAAAATTCTAAAAAGTTAAAAACGTAAAAGACTAAAAGAAATATGAGGTTTGTTCCCTTACAAATTTACTAAAGCAGCTGGTGTGCAGAGATGGACACACAATGTAAATTGATTAGTCGATTGATTTATCTAGTGTTGATGCTGCTCGTTTCAATAGCTACTCCGAAGAGAACCTTTTTAACAATGAAACATGTGAGAACTGATTTGCTCAACAAAATGAGCGATGAATTTCTCGCCGATTGCTCAAGTATTTTATTTGAAACAGTGTATATTATTGGTATGGATGTAGACTTCATTATTGATGCATTCCCTAAATTAAAATATAGTTGTGTACAATTTACATTGCACAAAACTATAATCATTATAGTTTTTTACGGTTCTAATTTTCTAATGAAATGCGGCCCAGTGCTCTTCTGTGTTCTGGATCCGCCGCTGCCCGAACCCACGGGTACCCACCCGACTCAACCCGGTCAACGCGGGTAAAATCCGTGTTGACGGGTTTTGGGCCGGATTTGGGTTTAAACCCGTTCAATATTCACCGGGTTGGGTTTGGGTTTAGGTAAACCCGATCCATGGGTACCCGCCTACACCCATATAATTAATTTTCTTGGTATATTTAATATTCTAAACAACTAATCTTACTTATGTATGTGGAGACATGTCTATTTTTTTCTTTCTAATTGTTTAGAATGAAGTTGATGTTATCTAGTGAGAGTGAAGAAACATAATTGAAAGGAAGAAGCTTTCAATTAATCATGTTATTTATGGATAATTTGTGATTTGCTTCAATTTTCTTGAGTTTTCTAGATTAGTGTTGAACAATTTGTATAGTTTATTTGTGATTTGCTTGAATTGTCTAGAATTGTGTTTTAAATGTGGATAATTTGTATTGAAAGATTGATATTTGAATTTAATTTTGATAGGAACTTGTTATTGTAAATGTTTTACGACAAAAACCCGTGGGTACCCATAAACCCACGGATACCCAGCGGATTGGGTTGGTTTTGAGTTTTTCAAACCCAGTGGGTTTTACCCTGTGATTTTCTTCACAGATAAACCCATGGGTTTGGGTTTGGCAAAACCCGACCCAACCCGACCTATTGCCATGAGTGGGTTGGGCAGTTGGTTTGTTTAATGGCCGGCCCACCTGGCATCTATAAGTTTTCAAGAGGCAATTCTCGCTTCCCACGGAGAGCCTGCAACATTTGGGCCTCGGGCCTGGGCTTTAACGCTGGCATGGAGCACTCGCTACTACTAGGCCGGTAATCCTGACTGTACTAACACCATTGTTAGGCCCCGACCTTTTGGGCATCGAGAGTGATTAATAAGGACCAAAACCGAATGTACGGGACTTTAGTAAAATACGTATGGATAAGTTATATATATATGAATATCTTACTTTGTCTTTAAAATAATGGTTAGTACGTCATAAATTATTAAATATATAAAATAAATTAATTTAAAAATAAATTAACATATAAATAATAGTTAAGTTAACAATTTAATTCGTTAAATACGGATATTAAACGTGTTCTACGGATTTTATATGTTTTAAGTATGGGAGCCATCAAATAAACGAAAAAAAAATAAAAAAGTTTAACAATAATATGGATACGAAAGTTTTAAACGGATAAAATCCGTACGACTATATATACGCGTATTAAACGGAGTATTTACTAGCTATCATTCATAGCACTATAAAGTAGTTTACACGTACCTAGGGGTGGGCAACGAGACGGGACGGGTACCCAGTCTGGAGACCAAAGTCCATCCCATATCCCAAACCCGTATGGGAAACGGTAGGGGTGGATTCGGTTCGGTTTAACCGATAACCGATTGGTCGGTTACCGGTTAACCGAACCACCATCTCCCCCTACAGAACACCGACCGACGCCAATACCTCGGTTAACCAATAGCCGACCGTTCGGTTATCGGTTAGTTGGTCGGTTAACCGAGATAACCGAAAAAAGACGGTCGTTCGGTTTTAACCGGGAAAAAATTATTAGAATCGCCTAAAATGAAAGGTTCTAGCTTACATTTCTACATCTAAATCACACCCAAAGTAAAGTCTCAATCACTTTTGCATAGAAAATACATCTGAATCACCAAATTAATGTCTCAAATTCAACAACATAAAGTTATAAACTTCATAACCGGGTATTTTCACGTCGTTTTGGTTGAGGGGGGTGGTCGTTCGGTTATTTTTGGTTAACCGAATAACCGGTTTTCGGTTACTCGGTTAACCGAATTACCTATTAGGAACTCCGACCACCGACCGAAGCATATAATTTTCGGTTATCGCTTAACCATTAACCGCCGGTTATCGGTTTAACCGGCCGATTAACCGACAACCGATAACCGAACCTCCAGCCCTAGGAAACGGGTACCCATTACCCGTAAGGGACGGACAACGGGTACCCAAACATACCCAAAGTTTAAATCACTGAAATTTTGGTAAAAGTTTAAACTTAAATGGAGGTGCAGCAGAGTGAGAAGAAAGAGTCAGATTGGGTGGGGACTAGGGCGGCGGCGAGGTCTCCCATTCGTCCGAGGCTCCCGACGGTGATTACAAGTTGTGTGCCTGGCGCCGCGGTGACTGCGACTCTGTTCTGTAGGCTATCAACTGCACCGCAATGAGAGGGAGAGGCGGAGAGCTCAGAGGTGAGAGGATTGAGGAGGCCGAGGGCGAGCGCGAGCGGCTGCCATCCCTAGTCAACTTGTCAAGGCCGAAGCCGTCTGTTTGGTTGACAAGGGAAAGGGTCGCCCCGAAATGGTCAAGGCCTACCGAAATGACAAAATGGGTTCTGATTTGGGCTGGGCTGAAAATGAATATTAATTATGCCTTTGTATTGAATGGGTTTAACGGGTAACCATATTACCCAAAACGGGTATTTACGGGTAACCCGCGGGTACCCATAATAGGAATGTACAATCCCAAGTCCCATCCGTTGATAATATTATGGGTAATATGGGCACCCATAACCCGCATAAAACGGGATGGGTACGAGTATACCTAAATACCCGTTTCCCATTGCCCACCCCTACACGTACCCTCTCTTTTCAATAAATCTACAATTTGTAAGATGCATAACCCAAGACCATGCAAAGTTTTGAGTATGCTATTAAGCTACATTATCAAAGAGTGGTATATCATTTTAGAAATCGAACAGAAAAATTATGGTTATTGATATGGGTGAGTCGCAAACTAGGTCGGTCTCTTAATACTTTCGTGGCACTGCCTCATTATGCGTATATGAGACTATCAGCGGTCCCCACCAGGATAAAACAATCACTCGTTTGTTGGCTCGGCGGTTTAGAATGAAAACAGGAGCTCTCTGAATGTCACTCACTCTCTCTCTCTCTCTCTCTCTCTCTCTCTCTCTCTCTCTCTCTCGTGTTTCTCCTTATCAAATTGTTTTTGGAGGGTCTGGGGAGTCCGCTATTTATTAGGAGTGAAAACCCATAATATTTCTTCTTTCGTGGGAAATAAGTCACTTTTAGTTAGGAAAATAATTACTCCCATAATTAGAACGTGTTCTAGTAGAATAATTATTTTTTTATTAATTATCCTTTATTATAGCTTTCAAAGTTATTCTGATAAGCCCTCGATTGGCTTAACTTAGAATAACGCAGCGAGGAAACAACGATGAATGAATTTCAGAGGAAAATCGATGGAACCAAACAAACCAAATCAACAACTTCAACACGAAAAGGGAAGAGGCTAATCTAGGTAGAACTACCACGAGATCAAGGGTGAATATCCTGATCTCTAGGTCTGCAATTCTCGGCCAAACAACCAAGAACCAAAAGCTCGCAAGCTGGAAAACTCCTCGGAGTAATTCAATTAAACTTCAACGTGTGTTTTTACAACTCAAAGCTTGAATATTTATAACCAAGAAACCTAATTACAATCCTAAACAAACAAGGCAACAATTCTGAATCAAACAAGGAAAAGAAAACGTTGAAAACAATTAAAACTTGCATCCCAAGTAACTAACTTCTCGCACAAGCTAACTGCCCAAAAATAGCCCTTGATAGCAACTTCGTGGCTCTGGAAATCGATCTTCTAGGTTGAGTCGAGCTCAGCCAATTCCTTCCCTTGGTTTAGAAAGCTTTACTCTTCCAGTCCCAACTCCAAGCTCCAGCTGGTCATACCCCAAACGTCTTGAATTCTAGCTCAAAGTTGGTACCTCAAACTGTCTCCATGCCTTAGCCAAAAACTGGCAATTTCCAGAATGCAGGATAGGTTTTTGATGGCCTTGAAAAGCAACCCTCCTGGCCTTCTTTCCACGATCCAAATGCATCAAATTATAGAGGAACATTCAAGGTTCAACATAAGACCCTAACCTTGCGTTTCCATTGAACGGTTTGAGAGAAACATCCCTCAAAAGTACCCTTCCCAACTGCCTTAACACTTAGGAAATTTCCAGCCTTGTTCGTATTAACTTTGTCTCTAGCTATTCCTTTTGTCAAAGGATCTATTAGATTTTTATAATCATAAGTTCATCCTTTCATAAAAGGATCAACTAGATTCTCTTTTAGTCTTAAGTGATCCACCCTTACC